ATTCTGTAAAATAATGAAGCGTTGAAAAATGCGCAATTTCGAGATCTCCAGGCGTTAGCACAATTTTATGTTCCGTGATATTTCGTATAAATTTATTGTCTTGGTATCATACAATCATACTAATAATTCCCCTATCTCTTTCTCCTGAAAAAATTATTTTTTATCTTTTATAAGCAAGCTATGTCCTTTCCACTTATTTGAAGTAATTCGGGAATATGATGAAACAAGTACTTGGAGCGGATGTAGTATAACCGATATTAAGCGAACAATGGGCAATAATAAAATACTGCCGCATCTTTTCAGTATGTTGTATTAAAATTTATATTATGTACAGTGGGGTATCAAAAGTCACCGGGCACTTAAACATTAGAAAATCGACGGAAATGGTTCTTTCAAATAAAACTTTTTATTTTATTATTTTAATTACTTTTGGAATAATAAGTAAAGTTATGCGCCATAACGAATTGCATATAATTTAAAGTTTTATAAATATCCGATCAGTAGTAGTTATAATTGAACATATAATTTTTCAGCTATAATCATTTTTATTCATTAAGTAAACTTGTTCGTCAAATTAAAAAATAAATTTCTGCAAAATTTCAGATTAATTACATATAAACTTGATGAGATCGACTTGATTACGGTAGGTCTGTTCAAAGTTGATTGTGTAACCCTAACAAATCGATCAACGTTATTGGTTGATCGCGTCTGTTCGGGTTACACAATCTAATAGAATTTGCGATCAAAAATGCCGATCGACCAACTTTGAACTAGTTATTAAAAATCACGTGATATATCTATCTGTACGGTGCGACATGATGATCGAAATTGAGGTTTTGAAGGTAAACGCAGAGTATAAGAACATTGATGAATTTGTCAAAAAGAAATGGAATTGGTTAGAATTACAAAGAAATTGAGCATTAACTTTTGATATTCATTACGAATTAATACATAGACAAAATTATTTGTTTTAAAAAAAGGTCACATTTATTAAAACAAATGATTTTATTTTTAAAAATAAAATTACAAAGCGTTTATTATTGGTAAATCAATAAAAAACAAGGAATATATACAAAAGAAAAATACATTTGGTGCTAAAACTACCAAAAAAGATGATAAATAATCTTAAATAATTGTTTCAACAAAGAGAAGAAAGAGAAATTAATGGTTTTGTTTACTTTGGTGTAACAAAGATTTTTTTTGATGAACGTATGTCATGCATGTATGTGTAAATTTGGTTATGAAAAGGGGGAAATTAACGCCAAAGTTTAATTGATTTTTTCTTTGTCCGACAAATTCGAGAAAGAAAAAAAAAAACTTTTTTTGGCTTTATCTCGTATTGTCCACAATACGGAAAAATTTGATTTCTTTTCCTTATGTAGAGTATTATTTTTATCTTATTGAAAGTGGCCATAAATTATGAACAAATTGAATGTTATTTTCGTCGAAATTTCTCTGTGTTGTTTGATTGACTTGTGGTGTTGCTACGATTGGTTTTAACGAGGTCGTTATTGGTTGTCCTATTATAATTTCTAATACCAATCCTAATAATTTTTAAGAAGAAATAAAAAGAAGTTAATCATGGGTAGATAATCTTGAAGAAATATTTTAAATGGAAAATTGATACATACGAAGGTACCATAAACTGTACATCATGAGGAGAGAAAATATTATTATTTGCAAGAGCGGACGAAAACAATATGCGAAATACAAGATATCGTAATCTAATGAAAAGAAAAGGTTTGACGAAGAATTAGATATTTTTCTCGATATATTTTACGATAAATTGACAAGATATTTTGAAAGGAAATTTACCTGCTGGGATTGAGGCAATCATGGTTATATTCGTTAAAATGAGAATGAGTGAAATTGAAAAGTAATGCCTCAAGGAAATTAAAAAAGAATTTCTTTAAATGAAGATATTGATTTCAGTTATTATTACTGTGCTCAACACAATTATAAAAACTGTAAGAATGTATTAATAAAAGCGAAAGAAATTATTTTTTTTTAGAAAAATTGTTGGAAATAATTCAGCTCCTTATATAACTTTTTTACAATATTACAATATGAATAACAAGTATTGTTTGTGCAATAGTAATTGTTTTTGATTGGTCTCTCATTATTCGGTAAGTAGTATTGTTAAGTAATTGAACAAGTCTAACATAAATCTTAAATATTGTTTAAAAGGAACAATACATTTATGATCTTCAAATATATTTAGATCACTCACATATAATAAAAATCTTCCAAAAAAGGTATAAAAAATGTAGATGACCTATATCTGAATTTTCAAACATGATTCGGACCGTAATATGTCCGAATTTTGTCACCAAAAAATAAGGATTATTTTTTATTTATCCCTATTTAGAATAATAGATGAAATTTAGAATGACAATGCAAAAAAAAAAAATAATAAATAAATGCGTAATATCCGATTCTACATTTAATTAATGTTTGTTTAAAAAAATTTCTAATTGGATGAAGGAATTAAGGTTCGTGTTGTCGTAGTTTAATTCAAAATGTTACTTGTCAGGTTTAACGCAACAAAAAAAATAATATTAATGCAATATCTATTACAATATAAATAAGTTACAAAAAAAATTAATATTGTTCTTCGGATTCTTTCATTACATGTCGACAGATAAGAGAATTTATCTGAACGCGAATATATACAGCACATTGATTCGCTTGCTAAGATAGGATTAGGAATGAGAGTTCGATACATAGATGATTCGTAGATCAAAAGGTCATCTAATGTTACCGATTACTATTTTTGAATAATAAGATTATCAGGTGGATTGTTATCGTTATGCTTCGAGTGGATAGATATCAATTCTTCATTCCCCCTAACAAAATTACATTTTCAAATTATCGTACGTTTTTTAGGTCCCGATCCTTTTTAATGGAAATAATAAAAAAATTTATACGAAAAATCGCTTATCCATGTCAAAAAATCCTGTTATGAAATTTGATCTCCATTATTTATTTAAGTTTATATTTTTCCCAGTCTGTCAAAGTCGTTACAATATTTGTTCTATGAATAGGTTTATTATAAATATAATTATTTCATCTACCAAATAAGGTAATAAGTAACTCGATAACCTTTTTCTAAAAACTACTTACTATTTTCACTATTTCCGTATTTAGTTGTTTTGTTCAACATTGGCCGATGACTGAATAAAATGCAGTAACTTGTAATATAAAAAGAGATTGTTGATAAACTAGAATAGGATATAATATGTATTCTGAATAGGTATATCTAAATTTATCTCGTACAACTTATATAGTTGCGAGAAAAACCCTTTTAAGCAGTCTATGTCATATGTATACTTTCAACTTTATTTTGTTTAATATAGTTTCTTTACTTTAAATAATATTAAATAAACATATATTATTTAAAATATTTGAATACATATAATTATAATAATATTTTAGAATTATATCAATTATCATATATTATACAAATTATTGCTTTGCGTATGATATGATACATAAAGATTTGAAATTAATAATTGTGACGAATTTTTTTTTAATTGAGCTTTTTGTTGCCTTTTTTTCTAACTTTTGTGCCAAATTAAGTTTTCATGCAAAAATGCTAAGATTTGATTTAGTGAATAAAGAATCTAAATAGTTTAATAAAATATATTGAAATTAAATCTTCATATTTTAAGCATTATAAATTATTTGTAATTTGTAAGTTATGTTTTTAAAAAAGCAGAACTTATATTTTTACAAAAGTATAAATTTTTACTATATTATTATTTTATTACTATATTCATTATTTTATTCTATTTTTTAATATAATTATATTAAGTTGTAAATATATATAAAGAAAAATACCATTTTGATAATAATAATATTATTAGTAATATAATAAAGTTGTTTGCTTAAACCTTTCAAAATTCTATAATTAATTTCAGTAAAATTTTAATAAGAGTTTAATATAGTTTTATCAGAGTTTTTCAGTTTTAGCATTTAGTAAATGGATAATTTAGCAAAAAATCTTAAATAAAACTAAAAATAAATAAAATCAAATTAATAAATGATTAAGCTTTATTTAAAAATTTTATATATTATATTTATAAAACCTAAAAACCTATAATTTTTAAGGTATATCTTATGATAAATCACATAATAATTTATAAATCATCAAAAATAATATATATAATCTAATAATTAAAATTATTTATATTAATAAAATATATTTATAATAATGTTTAATTTAAAATCAAATTTTTTAAAAAAAAATATTCAAATTAACTTAAATTAGATTTTAATTATAATAAAAATTTATAAAAATTAAAATATTTTAAGAAAATTATTTATAAATATAATCATAAAAATAAAGATATTGGTCACATGTGACTTGGATTAGGTCATGAAGGTAACTTCATAATCTGCTGGTAACTTCATAATATAATGGTAACTTCATAGTCTATTGGTAACTTCATAACATAATGTTAACTTTATAGTCTGCTGGTAATTTCATAATATGGTGGTGATTTCATAATCTAATTTCATGATCTGGTAGTAACTTCATAATTTATTATTCATAATCTAATAAGGACTTCATAACCTACTTATGGGTAACTTCTTTGCATTTATAACATTATTTCAATTGTTTCTGCTATAATATGGTAATAATTTCATAGTCTAATAGTGGCTGAAAATGCTTTAATTTAATAGTAATATCATGATCTAATAGTGACTGCTTTTTTCTTGTTCCTAATTCGTTTACATAATAAATTCTACATTGTTGATATTGGCTTTCCATCCTTGTTTGAATGTTTGATTCTATGTTGAGGATACTGACACTCTGTGCTTGTTTGGATGCTAGTTTTATATTGAGAATTTATGCATATTTAATTGCTTTTTAAAATACTGAAATAGCGTAAAAAAAGAGGCGATAGGTAGTGCAGTGAATTTGCGATTAATTTTTACCAATTCTATGATATAACACTGACCGATCTTTTAGACATGTGATTTGAGGATCCAATTTGGTGTCATGATAGCATTGTGATAGTGTCCTGGTAGTGTCATTGAACTCTTTTGAAACTGTTATAGAACTAGCAGGGATTCAGAGAGGTTCTATTAGTTTGTCAGTTTTATGCTGAGTTATTGTATCTAAAATTCTGGTAAAAAAATATAGAATAGTGCTGGTCAAAATTTACTACACCTTGAATGTCTCAGTGGCTATTAATAGCTATCAGTTATCAAATGTAATATTATGTATCTTGCTTATAATTTTAGATTGGTCTAATTTATATTACCATTCTCTGTTATCACTACTTACTTGTATCTATTTACGGTCAATATCTATTTGTAAGAATTTTTTACCAAGAATATTACTACTTGATGCTTGCTCGTTATTTTTATCACACCAAGTAAGATAATTCTAATATAAAATAATGCAACATATTTGTTTACAAAGAATGTTCTCAGACTATATTAAAATATAATCTATTATGAATTGATCAGCATTAGAATAAGATACTTCACTAGAGCTTATTATCTTATTCTGCTTTCTAATCTTCTGACAGTTAATTGTATTTTTAAGCTTAATATTTTCATCTCTAAGCTGATTAACTTGTTTTCTTAATAAATCAATCTCTAATTGCATATTTAAAAACTTACGAGTAAATGTAAGTTCAAATTGCAGATTAGTATTTTATCGTCACAAAGAATAATATTCAGAATCTATTGATACTTTATACATTTTGGAATAATTATTTTTTGCATATTTTCAATACTAAAAAATCCACAATGCAGTCAAATTGTACCTGTCTTAGTATACTAGATATTTCAAAAAACTAGGACAGATTTCTAGAATGGATTTTGATATGGGAGAAAAGCTTCTTTCTTCATTTTAACTTATTCTTATTTATTACGTCCTAGTGTACTAGTTGTTCTAGTAAAAAATAAAGTTCTTAAAAATTTTATTTTTTTGTCATAAAAGTTCTTATGATATATTATACATATATTATATATATAACGATATATGGGAAGCGGTCAGTAGAAAAGGAGGAAATCTAAATTTTGGTCAAAATTTATATTATTAGACCACTTGGATAATCTCGATTATATTGTAACCCAAATGATCTTTAGAAAATTAGAAGTGTGACGCAGTAAAGTGATCTGCAAATGATCATCATGTAAATTGA